TTTTTTAATAATACAGAATTCAATTTTATTCCATTTTTAAACCTATTAATTTTTCCCAGTATCTTTCAGAAATTGAAATTAAACAGGCCTTTTTGGACAGGACTAAAATCAAGTATTACTTGGGTTAGACAGAGAACATAAATATGCACATTGGCAATTTAACTAGGACCCCAGCTCAGCACCTGGCTATCTCATTCCCTCACCAAGCAGCATGACCCATTCTCCTGCTTCTGTCCATCCACTGTGGGATGACTCAAATTCTGTCTCGTCTCAACTGGAGCATTTCTAAGGCTTGTGATGATCTTGTTATTAAACACAATAGAGTATGTCCCTGATTATTCCCAGCTTTTGACCATGAGCTGAGAAATAACACTACCACTACTCCCAAAGTCCTGTGAGCTTGCAGTATGTTTCACATGTATGACCACACCAAAGCCCAGTGTGAAATGTACCTATTCCTGCCCTGGGCTAGGCAATCTTTGAGATCTCCCTACAATGACAACAGTGTTTGGGACCTCTCTAGGCTATCATATTTCCACATGCACACATAGACGCCAGAACTCCCTAGCATAACGAGGAGCATACCAGGGCTGCCTGGTGAATGTGCAATAGTAACCCACTGCATCAATCCTCCACCCATTCATGAGTTCACATTTGCCTCTTCCATTTAGGAGATTGAGAGCCTGGGAAATTTATGTCTGCACCCTTTCTACCTGAGGAGTGAGGATATAAAACTTTACCTTCAGGTACAGCTGTGGTGGAGGATGAAAGGGTTAATTTATGTGAAGTGTGCAGTAGTGATACAATGTTTTAGAAAGTGTTTCTGAATTTTCTGGGTAAGTGTACATACACGCCCAAAGACATTCCCAATCACTCCACACAACTCTCTCCTCCATACCTCCCCACCCTGATGCACACCACCCTATTCCAACTAAATGGCAATTCTGCCTCCAGGGACTGGAGGGGATGGTCATGATTCTTTACTGGATGGACTCACTGTTTTTACACCAAACTGTCTAAACCTCATGTCTGTCAGGAAGCTCAAACCAAAGTAGTTCTCCTGCAAAAGTGGCTCCCCAGGAGGCATGGTTTCCAGTGAACAGAGATAGCAGAGGTCTTCCAGGTGATCCTCAGTGGGAGCTAGGAGAAAAAAAGGTAGGAATTGCCACCATTTGCCACACTGAAGATATTTCCTTAGCAAAGGAGTGCTTCAGGATACACACCTTTTTCCTTGGTGGGCTCCTCTGCCTGTATTGAGAGAAAGAAAAACACCGTGAGCTTCAGACCATCCTGCGTTCTGAGTGCACAGGTCTTTTCTTCACATGGTGACATTAGAAGACCAGATGGGAAACAGTGTTCAAGTCAAAGGAACACAAAAGAAGAACAGGACAAACTGACTCAAAAAGTTTTTCTGGAGGGTGTTTCCTCTCAAGGTCATGTGGATTGGCACTGAAGTGATTTTGCCCCAAGGAGAGAATCAAGCTGTGGAGGAAAAAGCCTCTCATTGCATGGCTGATGCTCTCACTTTCTCCTGCCTAAAATCAAGCCTCAGTGGGAAACAGATTCTCACTCAGAATTCCCCCCACAAGGACCCGGTATAAGTCACCTATGATATATACAATCATATCTTATTTTAATTCAATAAGTTAAAGCTAAGAAAGTAACATTTTCTCAGACAAAACCAGATGGCCTGACCTTCAAATGCCATGAGGCAGCCTCATCTGAGCTCATTGGTGAGGTCTTCCTGGGGATCCTCAGTGGGAACTAGGAGGACACGGAGTGATTGCCAGCATCACGGCAGTGTTGCTCATCAATAATGCAGGGCCACTGCTTGTGTGGGTGTGGGCGGAGGGCAGCAGGTGCTGGGGAGGAGCAGGGAGGAAAGGCTTTCTAGCGCCAGGCTTCCTCATCAATATGAAAAAGCCCATCTTGAACAGGACACACTGCCCAGGGCAGGCTGTGTGTTTTTGCAGCCTCTCAGGGCTCCTGCCTTCCTGATTCCTTCCAAGGTCATTTCCTCCCTTGAATCCACCTGTGGTGCTGCTGCTGTGAATATCATCCCTTTTAGAAATTTTCTACCTAATAAGAAGCAAATTTTCCTTGAAGAGAAGACTGAATTCTAACCAAAATATTCTATTTATTCACTAACAATTTGTCTTTAGGACCATAAAATACTCAGTTTTCCTCCCATTTAAAGATAGTCTCTATTTAGCACCTGCTATTTGTCCTTCCACTCTCTTTTCCATAACCATGCATGTGTGTCCGTGGAGCCCATTGCTGCTCACACTCACACTGGCTCAGACACTGGGACAGTCCATCATGGGGGCAGCACATGGGCACTGACCCTCTCTAACCCAATGTTAGAGATTCCAGTAGGGAAAATGGGCATCAGGCTAATGCCCAAGTTATTTTTTGAGATCATATTGGGTGCTGTCTCTTGGGGGTGTGTGTTACTAAGCTGGAGCATTTCTTTCTTTCTTTTCTTTTTTTCTTTTTTTGAGATGGAGTCTTGCTCTGTTGCCCAGCCTGGAGTACAGTGGCATGTATTGGCTCACTGCAACCTCTGCCTCCCAGGTTCAGGCAATTCTTTCACCTCAGTATCCCGAGTAGCTGGGATTACAGGTGCCCACCACTATGCCCAGCTAACTTTTGTATTTTCAGTAGAGACGGGATTTCACCATGTTAGCCAGGCTGGTTTTGAACTCCTAACCTCAGGTCATCTGCCCTCCTTGGCCTCCCAAAGTGCTGGGATTACAGGCTTGAGCCACTGCACCCAGCCAAGCTGGTACATTTCTAAGGCTTGTGGGAATCATGATTTTTGTTTGGTTTAGTTTTATTTATTTATTTATTTATTTAGGTGACAGGGTCTTACTCTGTTACCCAGATGGAATGCAGTGGCACAATCATGGCTTATTGTAGCCTCAACCTGCCAGGCTAAAGCAATCCTTCTGCCTCAGCCTCCTGAGAAACTGGGACTACGGGAGCACATCACCACGCCTGGCTAATTTTTGTATTTTTTGTAGAGTTGTGGTTTCACCATGTTGGCCAGGCTAGTCTCAAACTCCTGGGCTCAAGTGATTCTCCTGCCTCAATTTTCCAAAGTGCTGGGATTACAGGCATGAGCCACCATGCCTGGCTTATTTTCCTTCTTCCCCTATCTTTCTTTCTGTCTTTCTTTCTTTTTCTTTCTTTTTCTTTCTTTATTTCTCTCTCTTTCTTTCTTTCTTTCTCTACCTCTATCTTTCTTTCTTTATTTATTTATTTCTCTTTCTTTCTTTCTTTCTCTACCTCTTTCTTTCTTTCTTTCTTTCTTTCTCTCTTTCTCTCTCTCTCTTTCTTTCTTTCTCTCTCTCTTTCTCTCTTTCTTTCTTTCTTTCTTTCTTTCTTTCCTTCTTTTCCTCCTTCTCTCCTTCTCTTTTTCTATTTTTAGACAGTCTCACTGTGTTGCCCAGGCTGGAGTGCAGTGGTACAATATTAGCTCGCTGCAACCTCTGCCTCCTGGGTTCAAGCAATTCTCTGCCTTAGCCTCCCAAGTAGCTGGGATTACAGGTGTGAACCACCACACCCAACTAATTTTTGTGTTTTTAGTAGAGATGGGGTTTCACCATGGTGGCCAGGCTGGTCTTAAACTCCTGACCTTGTGATCTGCCCACCTTGGCCTCCCAAAGTGCTGGGATTACAGGTGTGAGCCACTGTGCCCAGCCCATTTTCTTAATAGTACTAGACTCTCCATATTTCTAAACTGCGAGAAAAATTCTAAGGCTGCACATATCTATACACTAGTGTGCTTCGAGTTGATTCTCATTTTGGTCTCCATGTGTGGACCTTTTCTGGTCACATATATGCAGTGCTTGACCTGAGCCCAGGCTGTGCTGAGGTCATGAGCTCATCTCCTTGGTCACGTTGCTTATGTCAGACACAGGTACTCAGGGGAGCAGAGAATCAACCTCAGGTGATCTTGGGAGCAATGCAGAAGGGGAGACTTTGCTCCTGTGATACATGGCCCTGCTGGGTATTGTTTTGGCCCTGCAGGGCCCAGACCCACCTGTGAGGTAGACAGGGACAGCAGAGGTAGACAGGAGACAGAGACTGATTCCTGATGGCTTCTTTTGCTTAAGCCACTTTGAGTTGGATTTCTGTTACTTGCAACCATGAGTCCTGACTTGAGGGAAAAAAGCCACCCATTCTGTTGAAAATGCAATCATCACACAAATGGACAAGTTCCACCATCTGCAGTGTGATCTACCCCAAGGCCCAGGTATCCACAGCAATGTGTCCAGGCTGGGACATCAAAGAGGAGAGCTGTCAAGTCAGAGGGGAGCAGAACTACTAGCACCGGCAGCAGACAGACAGACTCTGGCAGATGCAATGGCCAGTTCCCAGAAAGGAAGGGGGCTGGGCTGTGCTGCACAAAGCCAGTGAGTACAACACCACCATGCCGGGCTTCCATTCTCAAACAAGCCATGCTCCCTCTGGCCTGACTGTAGGTCGATCAAGCAATGCTCTTATTACCTATCTGTTCCCTAAGGCCCTGGATATGAAGCTGAGGAACAGGAGTGTCCTGGTCACTAGGAATGAATGTGCTCAATGAATTAACTAAGAGCTGACTAACATCCCCATGTGGTTAGCAGAAATCAGTGCTGGGTCCCTCTGAGGTTTAGCTTGCTAAAATCTCATTGGTGAACAGCAGATAGGGCTCCTAAACAGCCCACCCTCCTTTTGCCAAAAGGAGGTAGGTTTGGAGCCTGAGGGATGTGGTGGGTAGACTGGCATGCCTGCAGAGGCAGATGAGGGGAGTGGGATTCTTACTGGCTGAGGTTCAGGCCCATTTCCTGGAGGGCTTGTTCCTGCTCCTCGCAGATCTTCTGCAGCTCTGCCTTCTCGTCCTGAAGCTCCCACAACTCCTAAAATGAACAAACCAACCAGATGCTGCTGGACAGAGGATTACAAGTAATATTTTTTGGTTTTTTTTTTTAGATGGAGTCATGCATTGTTGCCCAGGCTGGTAGTGCAGTGGTGCGATGGCTCACTGCAATCTCCGCCTCCTGGGTTCAAGCAATTCTCCTGGCTCAGCCTCCTAAGTAGCTAGGACTACAGGTATGTGCCACCATGCCCTGCTAATTTTTTGTTATTTTTAGTAGAGGCAGGATTTTCACCATGTTTGCCAGGATGATCTCGATCTCCTGACCTCGTGATCCACCTGCTTCAGCCTCCCAAAGTGCTGGGATTACAGGCATGAGATGCTGTACCTGGCTTTTTTTTTTTTTTAAGATTTAGCAAACAGAGCAACAAGCAGATCAGAACGCTTTTCAAGAGCAAAAGACAGCTGAGCACAGTGGCTCATGGCCTGTACTCCCAGCACTTTGAGAGGCCAAGGTGGGCAGATCACCTAAGGTCAGGAGTTCAAGGCCAACCTGGACAACAGTGTAAAACCCTGTCTCTACAAAACAAATTAACTAGCAGTGATGGTGGGCACCTGTAATCCCAGCTGCTTGGGAGGCTAAGGCAAGAGAATCGCTTGAACCTGGGAGGTGGAAGTTGCAGTGAGCCAAGATCCTGCTACTGCAGTTCAGCCTGGGCAGCAGAGCAAGACTCCATCTCAAAAACAAAACAAAACAAACAAAAAAAGAGCAAAATTCAGTCCTATATTAATGTGCTTCATGATTATTTCTTGCTAGCTTACTCTTGACACTGTGGAGCTGGAAGGGAAGCACTCCAGAATGCTGCAGCTGGGACAGAGACATGGGACAGGATAGCTACATTCATCAGCCACATTAAAAATAGTTACCCTCAGGGCTGGGAGTGGCTCAAGGCTGTAATCCCAGCACTTTGGGAGGCCAAGGAGGGTGGATGACCTGAGGTCAGGAGTTCAAGGCCAGCCTGGCCAACATATTGAAACCCAATTTCTACTAAAAATGCAAAAAAATTAGCTAGGCATGGTGGCATATGCCAGTAATCCCAGCTACTTGGGAGGCTGAGGCAAGAGAATCACTGGAACCTGGTAGGCAGAGATTGTGGTGAGCTGAGATCATGCCACTGCACTCCAGCCTGGGCAATAACCTGAGATTCCATCACAAAAAAAGAAAAAGGAAAAAAGAAGTTACCCTTGGCTGGGAATGGTGGCTCATGCCTGTAATCCTAGCACTGTGGGAGGTTGAAGTGGGTGGATCACCTGAGGTCAAGCATTAGAGACCAGTCTGGCCAACATGGTGAAATTTCTCCTCTACTAAAAATACAAAAATTAGCAGGGCATGGTGGCACATGCCTGTAATCCCAGCTACTTGGGAGGCTGCAGCGTGAGAATTGCTTGAACTGGAGAGGTAAAGGTTGCAGTGAGCTGAGATTGTGCCATTGCACTCCAGCCTGGGCAACAGAGCAAGACTCCATCTCAAAAAAAAAAAAAAAAAAGTTACCCTCACAGGGCAAATGAGGCTTCACCTATTTGAGCTTCTTTTTAAAACTTTTTACAAAACAGATCAGCATCTCAAAAAATCTATAGAGAACCCATACACAAAATTATACAAAGCTTGCATCAGCAAAGACTAGTTTGAAAGGTGGTTTTCTGTTCAACTCTCAAAAAGCTGCTTTTTTGGAAAGCACTGGTGAAGGGTGATGAAGACAGTGATCTGGGCCTCATTTCATGGCTAGAACACCCAGAGGCTGGCTGGACCATGTGAGGAGCCCTGCAGGGTAGCAGCTCCCCAGGGACAATGGCACTGACAACTGGGGTCAAGGCACCTTGAGCCAGGCTGATAAGGCCAGGACGGAGACCCAGAAAGTAACTGGGATTTCTGGGACCATGGAGAGCAATGGTGGAGCTTAGGCGTGAGCAGTGGGTGGCTCCCCGCACACCCTGTGCTGCAGCTTCTGCTTCTGTGAACACACTCATGAGGCATGCTGGGGCTTCACTGGGGATATTAGATATTTTTCTGTTCCTATTGTTGGGGCAGGCTGTAATTGCGTAATTCAAATCTTTTGACTGAAGCATTTTGAAGCAGAATAAAGGATGTATGCCCTGGGATGAGGCAGAACTTTCTAAAAGTCCTCTTCTGCCCTCCTCTTCCTCCCTTTCACTCTCCAAGTCTGACATGGCTCTTGAGGAAGCTCTCCCTAACCCACCAACTCCAGGCACTTTCCACTAGAAATCAAAAGGGCCTTTCCTGACTCACTCGACTTGTGCAGTGGTGTCCATTACCATGTTCAATGCAACAACATCTAGGTCCAGAAGTCACCCCAGCCCTGAAGGCCCCTCCTGGGAAGGTACTGAGAGTTCAGTTTGTGCTCAGTTGTGCTGCAGCACTCAGCACTGCAGGGACCTGAGAAGAGGGCACCCCATGCCCACAAGAGAGGAGCCCCCCATAGTGCCCTGGGCTACAGTCAGCTCTGTCCAGAATCACAGAGCCTCTTTCCCTCTGGAAAGACAGCCAATGATTTTATATTAGGGCAAATGTTTCACACTGCCCCGGAGTTTCCTGGGAGGTCTAGCTCCACAGCCAGACAGTGAAGGCCTGCTGGACCCTACTTCTCTCGCCCTCTGAAGCCCACAGCATCCAGGACATGCCTCCAAGTGAGAGGGTGTTCCAGGGGACTGAGGCGATGTTGAGGAAGTGGAGGGTGGGGTCAGTCTGCTTCCCAGGGATGAACTGACCCTGGGCAGAGTGGCTGAGGTGAGGACTGGCATGTGATCGAAGATGTTTACTGGTTCCTCCCAGCTTCCTCTCCTGCAAGCCTACCATCCACTCTCCACACAGTAGCCAATAACTGTTCACGAATGAAATGGATCCTGTCCCCCCAGCAACTTCCCACCATGCTCAGAATAAAACTCACATCCCTCCCCTGGCTCACAGGGCCCATGAAGGGATCCCTCCTGCCTGCCACCTGAGGCCTCCCCTTTGTTCCCCACACTCCTGTCTGCTCCTGCAGTCTCTGCCCCAGAGGTACTTTGCAGGGCATCACTCACTGGAGCCTCTGCTCACCGATCGCTCCCTCCCCAGACCTCTGCACACAGGTGACCAAGGACACTGTTCTGCTTTATTCTCTTCATGGCACTCACCTTTATCTGAGCTGGCCAGCAGGCTTAGTGGCTTATGCTTTGTCTTTGCCTTAAGCTCCTAAAACAGGAGCTCCCTAGGCAAGGAACAGCCTCCCCACACCCCGGAGCTGCCTGGCTCCCACACAAAGGGGGCAGGGAGAGGAGCCTACCAGGAGCATGGGAGGGGCTTCTAAGGGCTGCCGGAGGCTCTCCTCTCCCTGGCTGGCCCACCTCACCTTTTTCAATCCTTCCATTGTTGTAGCTCTGTTCTGAGTAGAGAGGAAGTGTCTTTCTCGTGTTGTAATTCGCACTAAAGAGCTTGTCTTTGCTCTTTTTCTGATTTCAATTCTTTCTCTAGGCTTGAGGTGTTTTCCTAAAATGAACTTGACTTAGTCCCAGAGGGAGATTTTCATGGAAGATTCACAACCCAATTTACTATCTAGGAAACAGAGAACTATCTGAATTGCCACTTGAACATCTAAACCCTTCGGCAAGTCTTCCCTCTTCCCCAAGGTCACCTACCTTCCACAAAAAAAAAAAAAAAAAAAAAAAAAAGCAGAAACCAGGGAGAGAAAAGCCTATAGGGACACAATGGACACTTACGCAGGAGAGAAGAAAGATAGCTCTAGAACACTTAGAACCACATAAGCAGAACACTTCCCTGATATAGAGATCTGAAGAAAGAAAGTTCAAAATTTTTTCTTTCTTTTTTTGAGACAGGGTCTAGCTCTGTCACCCCAGCTGGAGAGCAGTGGTGCAAACTCAACTCCCTGTAGCCTCAACCTCTTGGGCTCAAGTGATCCTCCCACTCTGGCTACCCAAGGTATGGGGATTACAGGCATGAGCCACTGCACTGGCCAATTCATTCTGCTTTCTTTCTTTTCTTTTTTTTTTTTTTTAGATGTGCTCTGTTGCCCAGGCTGGAGTGTGGAGTGTAGTGGCATGATCTTGGCTCACTGCAACCCTCCTGGGTTCAAGCGATTCTCCTGCTTCAGCCTCCCAAGTAGCTGGGATTACAAGCACCTGCTGCCACATCTGGCTAATTTTTTGTATTTTTAGTAGAGACGAGTGTTTCACCATGTTGGCCAGGCTGATGTCCAACTCCTGCCTGCCTTGTGATCTACCCGCCTCAGCCTTCCAAAGTGTTGGAATTACAGGTGTGAGCCACTGCACCCAGCCTCATTCTGCTTTCTATATCCTGTGGCCAGGCTGACAATGGAGGATCCTGGAGGGAGGCCAGGAGTCAGCCTCAGTCTGAACCCGACTCCTCCCTTGTACCAGCTGTGTGGCCCTGGGGGCACTGCTGGAACCCCTGGAGTCTTCTCTCTCTTTGTGGGAATAAAGATGACTCTGTCTCTTCTCTTGACATCAGGCTTTTAGCTTGGCATTTATACCATCTCAAAAAATCTATAGGCCAGGCAGTGGCTGATGCCTGTAATCCCAGCAGTTTTTGAGGCCGAGATGGGTAGATCACTTGAGGCCAGAAGATTGTGACCAGCCTGGCCAACATGGCAAAACCTGTCACTACTAAAAACACAAAAATTAGCTGGGTGTGTTGGTTTGCACCTGTAGGCCTAGCTACTCATGAGGCTGAGGCACAATAATTGTTTGAGCCTGGGAGGTGGATGTTGCAGGCGCAGAGGCTGCACCACTGCACTCCAGCCTGGATGACAGAGTGAGACTGTTAAAAAATCTATCGATGAAATGTGTGTAAAATTATATGAAGCTTACATCAGCAAAGGATAGGTGAAAGATGGCTTTCTGCTCAACACTGACAAAGTTGTCTTTTTGGAAAGGGCTGGTCAAGGATGATAAAGGCTACAACCTGGGACCATGGTCTGAGAGTGGCCAGACCTCCTGGAGGCTAGTGCGACCATGTGAGGAGCCCTGTGAGGAGGGAGCTCCCTAGGAATAACACACTAAACCTGCAGGGGTGAATGCTGAAGCAGGATACTACCTGCCCCAATTCTTCCCAGGCCCTCCTGAGCCACGCCGCAGCCTAGGCTCACTGCAAGGTTCCTACCATTGCTCATGCAGCTGGGAGAGCTGCAGCTGCAGGGCACCGATCCTCCTGCCAAGCTCCTGCTGCAGCTTGTGGCTCTGCTCCTCGGCCCCCTGCCTTGCCTGTTTCAAGTGCTGAACCTGGATGCAACACCAGCAAGAAGAGCACAAATGAAGAAAATCTTGTAAAGAAAGGATGACTTTTGCATACCTTTGCTGGATGAACTTCTTTTAAAAATTAACACACAGTAAAATTAACTCAGTTGAGTTTTAACAAGTGGAGATTCAGCTCCACCAAAACCAGGATAGAGAACAGTTCCACCACTCCCAAAACTCCCAAGTGCTGCCCCTCTGGAGTCACACAGTCTCCCACCTCAGCCCCTGGCAACCACTCACCTGTTCTGCAACAATAAGGCTTTGGCTTTTTGAGAATGTGATAATAAATGTAATTATACTTTATATAACCTTGAGACTGGCTTTTTCTCAGAATAATGTCTTTGAGATCAACCCAAGTTTCTGTGTATATTAATTGTTCATTCCTTTTTTCTCCCTTTCATTCCTTTTTACAGCTGAGCTGTATTTCACTGCACAGATGTGCCAGTTTGTTTATCCACT